AGATCCGATAGAAGTTGGCAAAACCAAGAAAGCATTGTACGTCTCTAACCGTCTTCGGAACCTCCCAGAATACGATTGCTTCCACCTTCTTGGGGTCCATCTTTAAGCCTTCCGTAGTCGCAACGAACCCTAGAAACTCCATCTCTATTTGGTGAAATAAACACTTCTCCAACTTGGCATATAGTCCTTGCTCGCGTAGTTTCTTCAAGACCAAACAAACGTGCTTTTCATGCTCTTCCTCATTTTTGGAGAATATCAAAATATCATCCAAATAAATGACAACAAAATCGTCAAGGTGCTCTCAAAAACTGTCATTTATCATATGTTCGAAGACCACTAGAGCATTGATAAGACCAAAGGGTATGACATTATACTCAAAATGGCCATACCTTATACGAAACGTTATCTTCCACTCATCTCCTTCCTTGATTCGTACAAGGTTGTAAGCTCCCTTTAGATCAATTTTTGTAAAGATCCTTGCACGTCCAAGTTATTCTAAGAAACCAGAAATCAAGGGTAACGGATAACGATTCTTCTTTGTTATCTTGTTGAGGCCTCGATAGTCCACGCACATCCGCAACGAGCCATCTTTCTTCTTCACAAATAAGATGGGTGCTCTAGCTGACGATTTTCAATGACGGATGAAGTTCTTGGCTAGATTCTCGTCGATGTACTTCCACAACTCCGCCAACTCCATCTGCGATAGATTGTAGATTAGGCCAAAAGGCGGTTGTGCTCCTTCTTACAAGTCTATGGCGCAATCATATGGTCGGTGTTCTAGTAGCATGTTGGTATTCTTCTTTTGAAATACGTCTTTAAAATCCTTATATTGCTCAGGTATACTTATTGTCGAGATCTTCTCCCCAGTAGTTGGAGCCGCATAAATGACAAACGGTGTGCCTTCTTTGGACGATCTTATAAACGCTCTTGCTCCAATGAATAAGAATTTCTCTATTCGGAATTTTCTACTAGGCTTGCTCTTGGGTGGTTTTGTGGGAAAGGTCATCTTCCGCAACTTCCAATCTATGGATGGATTATGCTTTTCCAACCAGGAAAGACCAAGAATAACAGGATTTGATGAGGTTCTAATAACATTGAAAATAATATGACTACTATCGCCCTTAAACGTCACTTCTATAGGTTTTGATTCATGGGTGATACTACGAGACAATAAAGGTCGCCCATCTATGACCTCAACGTGAACATGTTTGGATTTTTGTACTTAAGGGATCTTATGACACTTCGCAAATTCTTCGTGTAAGAAACAAGCAGATGTTCCTGAATCTAAAAATGCTAAGGTTCTCAATTTTTGAGGGCCAATAAGCAAAGGGATTGTAAAGCAAAGGGTAGGTTGAGCGGAAAGAAAGGAACCTGGTTGTTGTTGCGATATTTCACTGTCCAGCCGCATGGTTCCTATTGTGGTTGGGCATCCTCGTTTTTCTGAACAAACGTACCTCTACTCCTGACAATACGTCGATTTTTACTTCTTGGGGCAGTTTCCAACTTTGTGGCCTTCTTCATCGCAATACAAGCATAGACCTTCGTCCATATGCCACTTTTTTTCTTCTAGGGTAAGGGATTTGACACGTACCGCATCAATTTGCATGTCTTCTACCTCTGAATGTATATTCACGCTGCTTGCCAACATAGTTGGGGCGTGGCGAACCGTATGTTGTCTTGAACGTTTGTCTTGACGGCATTGGAATAGGCGATTATCGCACTTCATAGCTTGGCTAATAGCTTCATTGAACATTTGTGGATCAGGAAGAGTTTACAGCAAATCCTTCACATCATCCCTTAAACCCCAATAGAATTGACTCATCAACGCTTCTTCATCCCAATTGATGTCGCATGCTAATTGCCTGAAGTCCGATGCATAGACTGATGTAGAGCGCATCCCTTGTTGTAGTGACCGAATCTTTCTTGTAGCCCATCGAACCTTGTCGTGTTCACCAAATGCTTCCGCAAATGCCTCCAAAAAGGTTTCAAAGTTATTTAGTATGGACAATCGTTTCTCAAACAAAGGAGCAAACCATGATAGAGCTTGTCCTGTAAGTAACGTTCCAACAAGCCCAACACGTGACTCCTCCGTTAAATAGCGTTCGGGCTGTAAAATTGTTATCAACTTGATTTCATTGACGAATCCTCAAAACTTGGAATGTGTATCATCGAACTTGTCCGGAAGGCTAACTCGGGGCTCCTTATGTTGTAGAACCAGCAATGCTTGTCGAACCTGAGGTAAAGTTGCTTCTCCAAGTGCAGAAGTTTGATGCTGGTGCAACCTAGATTGTGCCATCCCAGATGCTCCATCATTATGAAGCCTTGCCACGACTCCTTCAATCTCTGCAGTTCTTTGCGATAATGTAGCGAGGACATTCATGATAGCATCCAACTTGGACTCCGAACTTTCCGTCATACTAATGTCTTGGCCTCCGGCCATTCTAAGAGAAGGACAGAAATGACTCTACAAGAAGACAATATTGGTTTAGAGGAGGGTACTCCGCAACCTCTAAAATGCCTTAAGAGCTTCAAGAAAAGGGGTAATCCACTCTCTCTAAGAAGAATAAGACTCCAATATTGTAACAAAAGAAGTATCAGTTTAGAAGAGGATAATCCGCAACGTCTAAAATGCTAGTACACTTCCAAGCAGAGAGGTAGTCCGCACTCTAACGAGGAAGAAACTAACTCTGATATCTGAGGTGAGTGAAGTCTCAACAAACTGTCACGGATACAAAAATACAGACTCGAGATCTAACAAAAAGTTCAAGAAGAACTGGCAAGAACTAGATTAATCAGATGAATACAAGAACAACACCAAAGAAGTGAGCTAGAGCTCCAAGAGATGTGTTGTCGAGACTAAAGAACTCTTCAGCTTCGATTCCAATATATACTCCTATTTAGGAAGCTTCTCAAGCAACTTCTACCAACTAAGAAGCTTCTAGAAGGTTCCAGAGACTTGCTTCTAGAAGGTTCTAGAAACTTATCTCTAGAAGGTTCTAAGGACTATGCCCCTAACATCTTCTATCAACTAAGAAGCTTCTAGAAGATTCTAGAGACTTGCTTCTAGAAGATTCTAGAAACTTGTCTCTAGAAGGTTCTAAGGATTATGTCCCTAACAGCTTTGCCATGATAATACAATAGAAAAGAAGATGTTTAATATTACTTAAGGTAAGTAGGAGGAGGAACTTAAGAACAAAGAAAATTCTAAAAACAATATTAGTTTAGAAGTAGATAATCTAAAACTTCTAATATGCTTATATCTTATTAAGAAAAAAGATTAATTTACTCTTAATCAAGAAAAGTCAAAGCTCTAATATTGCAAGTACACTCAATTTATCAAGAATAAGAATTCAAGGAATATAAATAAACAAGTGAAACATTTCTCAAAGAAAGATAATAAAAAAGAAATAAGTAAATATATATATATATATATATATATATATATATATATATATATATATATTCAAGAAGAAACTTGAATGATTATTGTCAAAGACTAAAAAACTAGAAATTTTTGAAACTAAACTATAAGCAAGAAAAGAGTTGACAAGAACGAAGAAGGCCTTGCTATTGACTTTAAATATATATATATTTTTAGCTAAGAATTACATAATATTTTATAGACCACCAATACATGTCAAACTTACTAAACAAGCTTCCTATATATATACTACATGTCCAACTTCTACTACAAGTGGCCAACATGTGTGACATGTAGCTAACTTGTTGGCTAAGTTTTCAACCTATCAACCACTTATAGTCACATATAAAAGCAAAGTCATGTCTATGTAACTCCTAAGAAGTTTTTTCATAAGATATTATCATTTTTTTTTTTTTTTTTTATCTACTTCTATTTACTCATATTATCTAGATAATTATTAAACTAAATATGGATGTCTGCAAGAAAGCTTCTGATATGACTTAAATATGTAATTATGTTTTAAAAGCTACATTTAAAAAAAACATACATATTTAAAGACTAAATTGTGAAAATTACATATAAAAATTCTTTAAAATTAAATTATAATGAATTATTTATTTTATTCATTTAATGAAATTCTATTCTTACATTCAATTATTAACTAAAAATTTGTAGTATTTATATTAAATAGTCAATATTTTAAAACTTCTAATCAATTATACATATATTTATTAAAATTTTATGTTATAAAATTTGAAAGATTTAAAGTCATTTTTGATAATTTTTTTAAAGTATCAACAAAATTATAAAATTTTATTTTTTAAAATAATTTTTTTTGAGTAATAATTTAAAATATAAGCATTCTTTGAAAATTGGTAAAGAAAAGGAAAATTACAAAATAAGCAAATGATAGTATTGGCAAGACCTTGGAGAACAGCAAAAACATATGAAAAAAGTGCATTTAATTATTTAATTTTTTAAGACTCGTCTTACAATACTATGAAGATTGTAATGCAGGCATGTATACTAAATTTACTCATAACATTTCCAGTCATGTTGTTTAGATGGCATTCACACAATCAACTATTTATTGTACATTAGGCGGCTCCCACTCTACTGTTCGAACTCACAAAAAGAGCCCCTACCGCAAAATACAACAAACTTGCCATCATGCGTGGACCTGGGCATGGATGTTCTTGAGAAAATCCATAGTTATTAGAAATTGTTGGAGAGTGGTCGAGGCAAGGAGTGGGAGCGATGTTGCTCTTAGGTTGCAAGTACTCAATCCCGTTCTATTGTTTTTGTGGGATCAATATCATCAACAGAATTTTCTTATACATTAGGCAGCTCCGGCTTAAGTGTCTTGACTCACAATTGCAAGAATGGCCACAACCGTAAGGATGAATAGCTTACTTGCATATAGTGCTGGAATTATTGAGCGCGGAGGTTATTGAGAAGATTCATAGTGCTTGGGATCAAATTTTGTGGAAAACCAGTTAGGGATGCAAGGAGTGGAAGAAGTCTTCTAATTATGTCTCAAATTCCCATGATTCCCGTTCTGTTGTTTCATAGCATCGACATGGATACTTCGTTTGAAGCACATTCACACAACATCACCACAAAGATTAGACACACTTACGAGGTAAAACAAGACAACGCAAGACTAACGACAATGTTATAAATCTGAACCTTCTATTTAGGGGAAAAAAGTAAAAGCATGCGGCGCGAAAGGACAGAAATGCGGTCCAATAAAGTGGCAACAAAGTCGGATGAACGAAGGCCGATTCCCGACGGAGTAGCCACGCGACGTCAACCGAAACTCCCTTCCTCAGTTTCCGTCCTCCAGTCCCGTCCGTTTCTCCACGGAAAACGGAACTAGGCGAACAGGAATCAAAGAAGGCAACGAAAAAGGCACGGGCAGCAAAACCACAAGTGCCGGTGACCCTACCCACCCGGCATGATGTGGTCATCGTCTCCGGGACCGAGGCTTTTTTCGCGGGGGGTTGCCGTTTTCGCGGAGCGAGGGGCGTGAGAGTGTGTGAAGAAGAGTATGAAGAAGAGTATGAAGAAGAGTGTCGTCGTCAACCTCGTCGTCCGTCGAATGCTGCTGCTCCTCGTGCTCGTGCTCCTCTTCGTGGTTGTGCTGATTGCCTGCTGCCCTGGCACTACGGGCGACGGAAGAGTGGTGGATCTAGTCCACTTGCCGATGTGCTCATCCTCCTCCTCTTCCTCCTCATGCGACTTTCTCCTTTTACTCCGCCTGCAGATTCAGTCAGGGGACTGACTCATTTCACCCACCCCATGCTGCTGAGGTTCGAATATTCCGCAGGTTCAGTTCGGGGAGTACGCTTGCACTAATTCTCGCTGCAATTCAGGGGATGTGCTCATTGAGGCTGGGAGAAAAGAGACAGAAAGCACGTAACGCTGTCCGGTGTTGTCAAAAGAGGGAGATTTTGGGGGGGGGGGGGGGGGGTTGGAGTGGGATTGGTAATTGGGTGATTTCTTAAGGGTGGTAGCAAGGGCTGAGTGGGACTATTCGTTTTGGCGTGTTCCGGTCCCGTTGCTGTGTATGACGACACGCGGGCAGGAGTGGGTTCTCGGGTTCTGTTAAGTAGTAGTGCGTCTGCGTGTATTTTGGGGTGTGTGTTGAGGTGATCCTTGTGTGGCGATGTTTTGAACGTGTTGATTGGTTCCACGTGGTGTAACATAGGATTTAGATTGCGGCTTTGTCACTCGTAGCTGGTGGTGTGTGATTCCCAGCCCAGGTTAGTGTTTTCTTTGCTTTGAAGGGACTGCTGGTGTTGTTGGGTGTTGTGATTGGAAGCGTTAGTCGCTGGAGGAATTGTGTCGCTGGGGATGTTTTCTGGTGGGTGGATCTTCTGTAAGTATTAGATTGCCGGTTCGCTGCATGGAGGTTTGCGGGAATTGGGGTGTTGGTAGAGGGGAAGCCGATGTGGTCCATGTTACAATTGGCGGCAGTGTATTTAATTACTTATGAAATGTAGCGCGTGGTGGTGAAGAGCCTGGATTGTGGAATCTAGGATTTAGACTGGCCATTTCTGAAGCATGCGACCTCTCAGTAGCATTCATAGTTGAAAGGAATTGAGTTAGTCGCCGAACGAGGGCTTCCGTGCCGTGGGCCTCATGCTTTGGAAGACAGTTTGAATATGAGTTCGTATTAGTTTGGTCCTAGTTAAAGAATTCTGCTCTTGTGCGGAAGTAGTTGTCACCCTTGCCTGATCTGCGGTGTCACTAAACCCGTCTTTTTCTTTTTTCTTTTTCAGCGAATGTTCGAAAGGAGTTCTGGGTTGCTGGTTCCGTCCAGGAACTCAACCCCGAATTATTTAAAACTCTCGACGGATATGTGGGGTAAGATTATCACTACAACTCTGAGTCTATGCTTTTACGTTAGCTATGGGGATCCTATATGTTGGATTCAATCACGCGGGTGTTGTGAATGTTTGTAATTCTAATTTTTGTTTACTTTCGTGAGCAGCGGGAGATGTCATCAAAATGGTAGAGATCAATTGTGGGCCTACAGCGGCAGATGATTGCCACGACAAAGTGGCTTCAACGCATTTGAAAGTTGTAGCGATTGCAGTTATCTTAAGCACTAGTGCTTTGGGTGTCTTAATACCTTTTTTTGGAAGACGCAGTCGATTGTTCAGAACGGATGGAAATCCTTTTATGGTAGTAAAAGCTTTTGCAGCTGGAGTGATTCTAGCTACTGCTTTCGTGCACATGTTACCTGCTGCGCACAGAGTTTTATCAAATCCTTGTCTTCCAGAGGATCCATGGGGAAAGTTCGCATGGGCAGGTTTTATAACTATGTTAGCTGCACTAGGAACATTGGTGATGGATTCCGCTGCTACAGAATTTTACATGAACCGTCCTGAACACCATCACGGACACCATCACGATTCAGCCAAAATTGAGGATTCTGAGCACAAGAATGGTAAGTCGAAATACTCTTTCCAAATGTTGTTATCAATATCGATTTCACTTCGAAACTTGTTTGCTGATGTTAGGATTTCATCAACTAAGGATCCTCATGAATTCTTGAGTGAAAAATTGCGGATGTTCTCGCAGATGTAGAGAAACAGCCCTCTTGTGCAGTTATTACGCACCCCCACACACATGAGGATGTCAATGACGACGGACACTTCACAAACATCAGACATGTTGTCGTAGCCCAAGTAGGTTTCTATAACTCTTGGTTTGAACGAACATGACTGTCATGATTCCCATTGATGCGTGCATATCCCTGCCGAGGATACGTAATGAACGCCCTTCATACTGTTTAACACTTTTCCATTTGCAGGTGTTTGAGTTCGGCATCGTGGCTCACTCAATAATAATCGGGATTACAGTAGGTGTATCGAACAGTCCCTGCACCATCAAACCGCTCTTTGCCGCCCTTACCTTCCATCAGTTTTTCGAAGGTTTTGCGTTGGGAGGATGCGTGGCTCAGGTTGGCACAGACTCTCAATCCATCAAATAGTATTTTCCTGTTGATAATCTAGATCCTTCTAATCAATCGTGATTGCAGACCATGATACGCATTTATTTATTTATTTTATTTTTTTATGTAGTGAAATTTTTTCACATTTCTTGTCTTGTCTTGCCTTGCCTTGCCTTGCAGGCGGAGTTTAGTAATCTTTCCACTTTGATAATGGGTATCTTCTTTGCTATTACAACCCCGTTGGGCATTGGCACAGGGATGGGTGCTTTAGCAACCTATAACCCGAACAGTGCCAAAGCTTTGATCATTCAAGGGGTTTTTGATTCTATATCAGGTGGGATCCTTGTGTACATGGCCTTGGTGGATCTCATTGCGGCCGACTTTCTCAGCAAGCGTATGCGGAGTAGTAGAAGGCTACAAATTGCATCTTTTGTTGCTCTTTTCTGTGGAGCGGGTTGCATGTCCCTTGTTGGAATTTGGGCGTGATGTGCAGCCAGGACTTCCACTCCTTGTTAAATAAACTCACTTAGGGTTGCATAGTGTTATAATTACCGCGTTACATACATTCATAGAACAGACAATTTTGAAGAATTGGTTTACCTCGACTGACACCTTGTCATAAACCTCCCACTTTTATGATTCTTTTTTTGCCATTCCCATTTGGTCATTATATTCGTCTAGCCATTCATTTGTTTTTTTGTCTTTGGAATATATGGCAATACACTTAAATCTTTATTTCAGTTGTTAATCTTTGCCAACTGCAGTGAAATTTTTAGAACAGTGCAAATGAAATAGTAGAGTAGAATTCCTGTTTATTGGCAAAAACAAATATTGTAAAAGCGGCTCTAGTTTATCAAGTACTCGTTACAAGAAAAAGAGAAAAGAAAAGGAAAGAATTAATATTCTTCATTGTGGTATGAGATGTGGAAAAACTTCCTCAACTTTTTCATTCCAAAATTACATTTTCATACTAATAGCATATGTATTTGGATATTAGTGTTTATTTCTGTCATGTTTATTATATTCTATTGCAAAGTTTTCATACATAGTTAAATTCTAATTTTGTATATACATAGAGAAGTATCTAACAATCTATTTTATTTAGTTTATATATAACCATGATGTAAATTAATTTTTTTTATTAATTTCAAAGTAAAAATTATATCAATTTAAAAAGATTGTATAATTTTTGTTACTTGAATAAAAACTACTACTTAGAAAAAATTATTATAAAACTTGATCAACTTAAGAAAGTTTTTGACAAAAATCAAAATGACTTCCATTTTTTTTTCCTTAAAAACTAGATGTTTGTACACATTTGATAAGAACTTTCCAATGGCATTTTAGATATATATTTTTATATTTTTATATAGTATTATTATGTCATTAATTGAACCTATTACCTTATGCTATTGATTGAAATTGTTTATTAAATCATAACATTTTTAGATCATTTATAGAGCCAAATTGCTCCATTTGTTGTATAAATAGTTGCTATGTACTCTACTTAAGTAGATAATAATATAATTATTTTTTTATTTCTTATTATTTGAATTATTTACATTATTTGCTAAAAATATGCATCAATAATAGTGGAACATTGAATATCAATGACATTTATATAAATTTGTATTGTAATATCAAACCAATTCTAAATTCAAAGAACTTCCCTTGTATTATTGCACATAATTTAATTTGTGACATATTTTTTTTTAAATCTATTTTTTTTCTAATGTTTTAGCTCATAATTTTCAGTGTCTTGGCTAATAACTCCTATGACATATGCAATATCAACTTAAGTTCTTATTATTGCAGGGACTAAACTACAAATTAAAGTTTTATTTAGGATTTCTTTTATTTTTATAACTTCTTAAAGAGTTGTAAATGCATGTTCATTGACAACTTATTCTATTTATTTACAAAAAAGATACCAGAAGGTTTAGATTTTCTATGCCAAAGCTTCCAAGTATGTTTTCATTGACAATTATTCACTAAAATTTTAAAAAATAAAATAAATCTAGATTCTTTTTTAAACAAAATTTCAAATATGGTAGATTCATTTCAAATATTTTATTTCAGATCTATTGACTAAATGACTCTTTGTCTTTAAATGTAGTCTTTTTATATTGCAAGTCATGACCAAATTACTAAAATATAATATAATAATAATAAATCCGTTATTATTTCTAAAAAAATAAATATTAGGATTTCATGGTTTTATTTTGTGATTAAATATTTAACTATCTTCTTATACTATGCCTTCAAATATTTTTTGATTTTTTTGTGAGTTTTAAAAGAAATTCAAATCAATGATTCTTCGCCCTCTAATATATATATATATATATATATATATATATATGTAAATTTCCACATATATCTTTTTTTTAAGACCTCTATTTAAAAATATCATTTTGACATCTATTTCATGAGATTTTAAATCTTTAACTATAAAAAGTCAAAAAAGTATGCAAATAGATTTCACCTTTATCATTTTATAATAAAATATTAGTATGATTAATATATATTTTTTAAACATAATCTTTAAAAACCAATCTTATTTCATATTTCTACATTAATCTATATTTTTAATTTTAATATTTAAAACCTATTTACATCCAATTTGTTAAAAATCTATTAGTTAGGATATCAAAGTCTTAGTTTTATTGTTGATAAGACTTATATACTCTAAATCCAATTCTGTTTTTTACTTCTGAATTCTGTTTTGTTTTAATAACTTTTATAATAGTAAATGATTCTTATGCTTGTGCAAAATAAATGTGTCATATACCTTAAAGATATGAATAATTTCAAAAGAATCCAAGTTAATATGAATTTATCTCTCAAATATATATATATTTATGAAATAAGCATTGATATAGAAAGAAGTGAAATTAGAAAGATTTTTGTAGCAACTTGTCTTTGAAGTGTTTTTTTAATTAAATATTTTTTATATAAAAATATATTATTAATTAATTTATTGGCTAAAGTTTCTACTATACCATCACTTTGATATTGAATTAGATGCAACGTCTATTGAATTTATCTTAAAAACTATTTCAAAAGGTTTTTTTAATTTGAACATCTAATTTTTTTTAATATTCTTAAATTTAATAAATTATATTTTTTAAATCTTAAAAATAAATAAATTATTTATATGATATATATATTTACATATGTATATATATATATATGTATATATATAGATAGATAGATAGATAGATAGATAGATAGATAGATAGATAATTTTCTAGATAATATAGATATATAGAAGTATCTTAAAATAGATTAATTTGATATTATCTTATAAAAAAGCTTCTTACAAGCTTCATAGATATAGTTTCACCTTTACATATGTCTATAGGAAATTGATAGGTTGAATATTGGGCCAACAAGTTAGCCACATGTATCACGGACATACGCATGTAAGCCAGTAATTACATGTATAAATAGATAGAAATAAATAAAAGTAAGTAAAAGTAAGTTAATTCTACAATATTTGTTATAGAAGCTTTCTAGAAGCTTTATAGAGGTTGTTTTGACTTTATAGGTGTCTTTAATTGACATTTTGGATTAGAAACGTGGTCAACAAGTTGGCCATGTGCCACACATGTTGTTAGCTTGAAGACCAAGCTAACTATGTGGCTTACATGTAGAAAAACTTCCCTTGTAAGTCAAGGCATGTATCCTACAAAGTCAACACATATTGGAGGTCCTATAGAACATCGCCACATAGCCCCTAGTTAGATAGTATATATAAAGACAAGAGTGAAGCCTTCTTTACTCTTGTCAACTCCTTTCTTGCTTCTAGTCTAATTTCAAGGGTCTCTAGTTTTCTTGGCTTTTAGTATTAGCAATTCCAATTTCTTTCTTATTACACATATCAAGTTATTTCTATTTAATCATCTTTCTTTGAGAGAAATCTCACTTATTTATTTGTTTTTATCAGATTCTTGTCCTTGACAGATTGACAAGAGTACACTTACAATATCAGAGCTTTGCTTAATCTTGATTAAGAGTGGACTATCCCTTTCTCTTGATAAGACATAAGCATATTAGAAGTTGCGGATTACCCTCTTCTAAACTGATATTGTCCTTAGTATTTTCTTTGTTCTCAAGTCCTCTCTTCTATTTGTCTTGAATGATATTAGACATCTTCTCTTTTTTAAGTGTCATCATGTCAAAACTTGCTGAAATAAAGAGTGCAATGGCACAAATGCAAGAGCATTTGAGGGAGTTAATGCTTGCAATACATCAACTGAATTTACTACGACAAGGAGCAACAAGATTAGCAAGAAGTGAAGATATAGAAATGATTGGAGCTGCTTCAACATCTGCATCAAATCAAGTCCCTTCTCCTATGGTTGAACGCCATTCCAGTGTTAGAGAACCAAGAATTACCCTACCTGAGAAGTTTGATGGCACCAGATCAAAGTTTAGAAGATTTATCAATCAAGTACAACTTGTGATTGAACTTCAACCCCAAAGCTATCCAACTTCTAGATCGCAAATTAGATTCATTTGTATGCTTCTTTCAGATTCAGCATTATCATGGTTTTCATCTTTTCTTGAACGACGAGATCCAATATTGGATAATCTAGAGGCTTTTTTAGTAAAGTTTCGATCCATGTATGGAGAACATGATGCAATTCGTGTTGCAAACAATAAGATCCATATTTTGCGGCAAGGCAATCGATCAGTAACGTTGTATGCTTCACAATTTTGACAACTTACAACTGATATGAAGTGGGATGATGCTACACTTATTAGCCAATTTCTCTACAGATTACAATATGATGTAAAAAAATTTATGCTCAACTTACGTGATCTTCAAACATTGAATCAAGCAATTGACTTTGTTGTGAAGTGCGACAATTATTTTTTTGAATTCCAATCTGAGAATCGTACAAGTAGACCTCAACGTTACTATAATTCAATGGCAACACCAACACCTCTTCAACACATACATTCGGAAGTAGAAGATATGCAAATTGATGCAGTACGTTTCAAATCTCTTACTGAGCAAGAAAAGACTGGTCGTCATCAGGAAGGATTGTGCTTATATTGTAGAGAACTTAAGCACACTACTCAACATTGCCCAAAGAAGCGAAAAAACCATAAAATGAGGAGTACAGTGATCAAAGAATATAGCATGTCAGAAAACAAATTTGTCCAACTACAATAGGGACCGTGCAGCTAGAATCTTATACAACGCCTAGTAAAGGTCCTATCTTCTCTTCAAAATCCTCGCCATGTTTTATAATAAATGTTATTCTAAGACCTAAACATTACAAAGCCTTTATCTTGTTAGATTCAGGAGCCTCAGCATGTTTCTTAGATGAAGAATTTGCTAAAAGATATAGCATATTTTTAGTGAAGAAAACTAAACTTCTTCATATAGAAGTCATAGATGGTCGTCCATTGTCTTCAGGAGATATTATTCATGAAATCCTTCATATAGAAATAACAACTAATGGTCATAGTAGCTTTGTAATATTTAATATCATTAAATCTCCTTCTAATCCAATCATTTTAGGTTTATGATAGCTAGAAAAATATAATCGTAAAATAAATTGGACTTTTCATAGTCTTGACTTTACTAAAAGTATAACTAAGAGCATAGTTAATCAAGTAGAAAGTCATAAGTCCAGTATAATTAAATCTATATTTGTAAGTGCAAGAGCTTTTTAGCATGCTGTAAAAAAAAAATTACCTTGTGTCATTTATACCACATCTGTTTCTA